TCCTCTCCATTCTGATAGATCACGGGCTTAAGCTCAAAGAGTCAAGAAAAACACCACCACTGAGGAATGTTGTGGGGATCAAGTCTTCCCCACTCCTGATGTTTCCTTTCACATTCAAAGAATTTGCCTCTCATTGCCCCTTTACTTGCTTCTTCCTAGAGGAGGGGAACAATTATCTGAGCGGTAAATCTGGATATTATCAAATCAGGCAGGCATAACTCAGCTCAATCTTTCCTCCTCTTGGGAGTGTCCTGCCCTCAGGGAACAAGCATTTCCAAATGCTCTTCCTGGTGCAGATTCTGAAGGATTCCTATATCAGTCTCCTAGGCTGCCCTAACAAGTACCACAAAGTGGGTGGCTTATAAAAACAGAAACACATTGTCTCACAGTTCTGGAGGCTAGAAATCCAAATCAACTTGTAGGCCAGGCCATAAAACCCACTGCCGTCGAGTCGATTCCGACTCACAGTGACCCTATAGGACAGGGTAGAATTGTCCCATAGGGCTTCCATGGCTGTAATCTTTATGGAAGCAGACTGCCACATCTTTCTCCTGCGGAGTGGCTGGTGGGTTTGAACCACCAACCTTTCAGTTAGCAGCTGAGCACTTAACCACTGTACCACCAGGACATACTCCCTCCAAGTCTCTAGGGGAAGATGCTTTCTTCTCTCTCCCAGTTTCTGGTAATGCCAGGATTCCGTGGTTTGTAGATGCATATTGGCAGGCCCTCTTCCCCATGTCTCTCTGGGTCTCTTCTCCTCTTTCATAAAGATACCACTCAGATGGAGTTAGGACCACCCTACTCCAGTAGGACCTCATGTTAACTGACAACATCTTCAAAAACTCTAATTTGCAAAAAGGTCACATTCACAGGTTTCAGGGGTCAGGACTTCAACGTATGTTTTAGGGGAAGACGATTCAACCCAAAACAATTACTCTTATCTCTAATCTCTCCCTACTTCAATATTGCCTATCTACCACTATCTACCAAAAATATCCCTGACATACAACCAGCTTACTACGTCCTGGTAAGCACAACTTCTGGAGCTGAGTGCCTGGGTTCGCAGGCCAGGATACTACTACTCACATATCCTCTTGGTTACTCAGTTTCCTAACCCATAAAATAAGGATACTAGTAGTACTTTTATCACGACGATTATAAATATTAAATGAACTAAATGAGTTCATATTTGTAAAGCACTACAACAGTGCCTGGTACACAGTAATTGCTATGTTTTTGTTAAATAATCAGGGAAAAAATATGCACCTTTGAAAAACTTTTAGTATAAAAAACTGAAGTACACTCAGAATGCCTCTTTTGTGTGAACAAATTCAAAACTCAAAAGAAGAAACTGAAGACAGACCAATACAGAAGAGGCTAACTGAAATGCAAGTAGAAATATATTTTTAAAAAATAAGGAAAAGCCATTTACAATAGCATCTAAAAGAATAAATTACCTAGGAATAAATTTAACCAGGAAGATGAAAGATTTGTACACAGAAAATTATAAAACATTACTAAAAGAAATTAAAGAACATGTAAATAAATGGAAGAATATTCCATGTTCATGGATTAGAAGGCTTACTATAGTTAAGAGGTCAATACTATCCAAAACAAATCTATAGATTCAATGCAATCCTCATCAAAATTCCAATAGCCTTCTTTGCAGAAATGGAAAAGCCAATCCTCAAATTCATATAGAAAGGAAACGGACCCCAAATAGCTAAGGCAATGCTGAAGAAGAATAAAGCAGGAGGACTCACATTTCTTGATTTTAAAAACATCCTGATTTTTAAACTACAAAGCTACAGCAATTAAAACAGCCTTGTACTGGTATAATAACAGTCATATAAACCAATGGAATTGAACTGAAAGTCCAGAAATAAATCCATACATTTATGGTCAACTCATCTTCGACAAGGGTGCTAAGTCCATTCAGTGGGGAAGGAAGAGTTTCTTCAACAAATGGTGCTGGGAAAATTGGATTTCCACATGCAGAAGAATGAATCAGGATCCATGTCTCACACCATAACACGAAAATCAGTTCAAAATGGATCAAGGGCCTAAATGTGAAAACTAAAACCATAAAATTCTTAGAAGAAAATGCAGGGACGAGGCTGTGGGACCTAGTGTTTAATGACAGATTATCAGATATGATAACAAATGCTCCAGCAGCAAAAGACAAATAAGATAGATGGGACCTCATAAAAATTAAATAATTTTGTACACAGAACTGAAGCTCCTCCTGAAGTCCACCTTTCAGCCAAAAATTAGACAGGTATATAAAACAAATAATAACACACACGAAGAACACGCTTCTTAGATCAATCAAGTATACAAGACACATGCGCAACATCTGCCCAAAAGCAAAGATGAGAAGACAGGGACAGGAAAACTGGACGAATGGACGCGGAGAACCCAGGGTGGAAAGGGAAAGGGAGAGAGCACTGACACATTGTGAGGATTGCAATCAATGTCACAAAACAATCTGTATATAAATTTTTGAATGAAAAACTAATCTGCACTGTAAACTTTCACCTAAAACACAATAAAATTTTTAAAAAAAGAAAATCTGAAAAAAATACTTTCATGCATCAAAGGACTTTAACAACAAAGTGAAAAGACAACTTAGAGACTGGGAGAAAATTTTCGGGAACCATGTATACAATTTCTACAACTTAACAAAAAAACAAGCAACCCAATCAAAAAATTGGGCAAAGGACTAGAATAGAAAGAGAGATTCAAACGGCCAACAAGTACATGAAAAAAAGATGCTCAACATCATTAGCTACTCATTGTTGTTAGTTGCCACCAAGTCAAATCTCATGGCAACCCCATGCGTTAGAGTAGAACTGCTCTGTAAGGTTTTCTTGGCTGTAATCTTTACAGAAGCAGATCGTCAGGGCTCTTCTTCCCCAGTACTGTGCTGTGGGTTCAAACTGACAGCCCTTAGGTTAGTAGCTGAACAAACTGTTCGCGCCACCTAAGGGCCTTTAGGAGATGCATATCAAAACCACAATGCGACACTACATCACCCCCATTAGAATGGCAATGATAAAAAAATCAGAAAGTGACGAGTGTTGGTGACATGGAGAAACTGGAACCGTCATCCATTGCTGGTGAGAATGTAAACTAGTGCAGCCACTGTAGAAAATCCACAAATGAAGAACAAAATCAACAGACTTTGTACACCAGCCATAAACAGTAGGAAAAGATACCATTCAAAATAGCAGCCAAAAATATATTTCTACAAATAAATTTAAGAAAAAATACAGCACCTAAATAAAGAAAATGGGAAATATTATTTAAAAGGATATAAATTAAGACTTACATAAATGGAAAAATAATATGTTCCTAGTAGGAAAAATTACAAAGATGTAAATTTTTCCCAACAAAAACAGCGTGGTTTGTTTTGAAATCTGACTAAAGGATTTTAGTTATCTAGCAATAGGGATTAGCAATTTGGCTTACGAGCACTTGTAGCAGGACCAAAGGCTTCAGGGGATCTGTGAATCTCTTGAGACTGTATGAAAAACAATGCATGTGCCCATGTGCACATGAGAACACTGTGCATTTTTCCTTGTAAGAGGGCTATTTGCTTTCATCAACTTCTCAAAAAGACCCTTAACTCACAAAGGATTAAATAACATATCTAAAAAAAAAGAGTAAAAACTAGTCTCTTTAAAAAAAGTACTTCTATTCTCACGGACTTCAGACTTTCTGGAGCCATGGAGGGTGGATGAACCTCTGAAACTATTGTCCTGAGATAATCTTTAAAACTTAAACCAAAATTATTCCTTGAAATCTTTTTAAAACCAAACAACAGTTTAGCTAAAACTAGTAAAAAAGGTCTGCCTTGAGCATTATGCTCTTTTAAGATCTATCTGTACGCGATCAAACTGACAACAGCAACTTGAAAGATCAGACAGGAACTTTAGGGGGCAGTGAGTTTATGTTAATGAGGGAGGAACAACTCAGAAAAGGAGGGTAAGAATGGCTGCACAGCTCAAAGGATGTCATCAGTGTCACTGGACTGTACATGTAGAAATGGTTGAATCAGTGTATGTTTTGCTGTGTACGTTCTCAACAACCAAATAAATTTTAAAAAATAATAAATAAAAATAGATTGTAAAATACATCTACATTAATTGATGTCCCCCAAGTCTATGGTCATTCACCTTTGAGCCTCAGACACGATGATTCAGAATCTGACTTATCTTTAAGAATATACAAAAGAAGATCTGTCAAAGTGACAAGCCAATCTTCTCACTTCTCTTATGGCTAAAATAATAAAAGGACTCCAGTGTTAGAGTATACCCTTCGCACAATAAAGATCCATGATGTCTCTAAAGTCTGAAATTTGTGGAGGCCAAGATGACTAATTCCTCAAATGATACAACTATTTACTCACCACCACACTGGAAAATTTAACCCAACACTGTCCAATAGAGGAGCCCTGGTGGTGCAGTGGTTAACAGCTCAACTGCTAACCAAAAGGTTGGCAGTTCGAATCCACCGGCTGCTCCTTGGAAACACTATGGGGAAGTTCTACTCTGTCCTATAAGGTCTCTATGAGTCAGAATCAACTCAACAGCAACGGGTTTGGTTTGGTTGGTCCAACAGAATTTTCTGAGATGATATGTGTGCTGTCCAATATGGTAGCCATATGCAGCTACTGAGTACTTGATATGTGACTTTTGTCACTGAGGAACTGAATTTTTAATCTTATACAATTTTAATTAATTTAAATTTAAACATGTGGCTGGTAAAACCATACCGGACAGTCCAGCTCTAACTCCTCTGGTGTGTACATGAGTATACATATACTTAAGATCTTTGTTTTAATGGGTCTCTTTAATGTATGTTCACATTCATTTTATTATAAAATAAGCTTCCACGTAAGAATGAGTTCACTTCCTTATCAGTTCAACCTCCTTACTGAAGCATACCATAGGTGGATAAAGGCATAATGAATGTTTGATAAAAAGACAATACTTTACCAGCTCCATCTGAATCTTCTACCATTGGATTTATTTCTACCATGGTGGCATCATATTTCAGAAAAAGTCTGTAAAGCTTGACCATGTTCTCTGCTGCAGAATCCACAATGTTATGTGGAAATCCCATCTTCTGTGCAAGCTGAAAGCAATTTATCTTTTTAATACAGGTATTCTGTGTATGTCTAACCAACATTAAACTACTTGAAATTAAAAAAAACTTAGTTTATAATTTAAATAAACATGAATCCTTTGTAGTTAAACATTAATCACTGAAACAGCAGCTACTATTACTAATTGGTTAAACAAAACTTCATATTCAAAATCCTCACAAGGTAGGTATTATGCCCATTTTACAGAAATGAAAGAGATTCAGAGAACGGTCAAGTGGCTTGCCACTTGCCTAGATTCCAATTCCAGCATTTATTCCATAGCCTCCATACTGCCTGTAAGCCTTCTGGCCAACCTAAACTAAAAGAAGAGGCTTATATTTTATTAAAACTACATATCACAGGTAGACTGACAGTTCCAATGGTCCAAATGATAGCCAAAATAGTACATCACCCTATTTTATCTTTTAGGTAATTTATCAAGCATGTCTACCAAGAAATGAGACATACAGTCAAGCACGTATAATTTCATTCATTCAAAAATCTACTAAGCACCTGATACATGTCAGGCACTGTGCTAGGCCCTAAGGATACAGGTATTTAAGCTTCTCATCTAGCAGAGGAGCTTACAGTCTTGAGCAGAATTTCTAACCAGAGATACCAGTGGAACTTTTTCTAAAAAATACATACACTAAGGTTCCAACCCAGAATTTATAGTTTAGAAGTTCTAAAATGGAACAAGCATCTATAATTTTAAAAGTCCCATCAGCAGTTCTGAACTACTGGTATAGAGGCTGACTATATCTATGTTTATCCTAATAGTGCTGCCACTGCTCAACACTACAGAAGAGTTCATTCTTCTTTTTCAATTGCTATTGAAGGTTGCAACACATTCTTTTGATTTTCAGTAATAGAAAATTTTAAATTCTTGGAGGGTGAATGTGATTTTTGCAAAGAGTCAAATGTCAATAAATAAAGTAAATGATCAAGCTAAGGAATATAATTTTTGGTTATGACATTTCAAATAAAGAATACGAAGAAATAAAACACCAATTCACTAAGAAAGCTTTTTACTAGGTCACAATCCACCAGTTAGATTTTAACATTTGAGAATTGCAATATAATTCTGCTTGACACAGTAAGATATTAATCTGGCAGGCACTGTGCTAGACATTATTTCTTTGTTCAAAATGCTATAATCCAAGCAGATTAGTTCCTTTAAATATTCTTGCAAATCAAGTATTTTCTTTATCTAAATTTAACTATTCATTGTCACATACAAATAACTACCTAAATGATCAAATTTCTGTCCTTTTCCAACATTTATATCATTCACTCACCTAAGTGACTTGCTTCATGCTTTATCAGGAAACTATCTCCTTTAAACCTTTTGTGTCAGTCAAAATTCTTGCTCTTGCTGTACTTCAAAGCCATATGTTATTTTGATACATTGTTTCTCAGAAACAGATGTTTAATTTCATTCAAAGTTTAATATCCAAACTTTTCTTTTAAAGTGGGTCACATACTTTTATGCCCAAAATAAACAATTTAATTCAACAGCAGTCTTACAAACATTTAAAAAGCAACTCTCATGAGCCACAGTATTAGACTCCACAGGTGGGGCTTTCTTGGGGAAGGGGAAGGAGAAGCACACAGGAAGGACAGTAAAGAAAGTCAGTGAAATTGTACGCAAAATTAAGTATGTGTGGGCATGCAGAGAGGGAACGTCCATAGGTCTCATCAGATTCTTAAAAGGGTCCATAAACTCTAAAAAAATAAAACCACTGATCTATCATAAAGATATATAAGACAGTGTCCCTACCAAGAAATGTTCTGAGTCAGAGGCATAAAAAATTAATATACTGTAGTGTGATGAGTGCAACCAAATACAAGATAGAGAGGTAGCAAAAAAGGATGTAATTATCAGAAAGGGCTCACGAACAGATTTTTTTCCTGGAGGGAGTGATCTCTGGGTCAACAGTTGTAATATAAAAGAAGAGATGAGCACTCTGGCAAAAGGAATGCAAGGGCACTGACATAAAAGGGCAAAGTGTTCTGAGGTTACAAGTAGCTCAACACTGAAGTGTAGTGAACAGGAGAAAAGAGAAGAAAAGAAAGCTTAAGAAGTACCCAAAACGAAACCAAACCCATTGCCATCAAGTCGACTCCAACTCAAAGCGACCCTATAGGACAGAGCAGAACTGTCCCCATAGGGTTTCCACAAAGTGACTCGTGGATTGGACCTGCTGACCTTTTGGTTTGCAGCCGAACATTTAACTGCTGCACCACCAAGGCCCCCTAGAGGAGTAGGGAAGAGCAAAACCAGGCTTAAAAATGTCTTATAATGTAGCCTTAGTAGTTACAGTTGGTTTTTATCTTTCTAAATCAGTGATTCTCAATGCTGCCTGCACGTTAGAATCACCTGGAAAACTTTTTAACTACCAGTGCCCCAACCCTATCCCCAGAAGGTCTGCGGCATGGAAAGCTCGTGAAGTGATTTCAGCAGGGGAAAACTACTGCGATGACAACATGCAGGACAGGCCAGGTAGGGGTGAGCACAGGAGTTAGTGCAGAATTCTGGGCTAGAGACAATGAGGGTCTGTACAGGGCAATGGCGGGAACACAGGAGGAGCGCAAATCCAAGGAATACAACACGTACTTCTAGTCACCACAGGCAGTGGGCACGAGACTCAGTGCCTGACCTTGGAAGAACTTTTGCAGTACTTCCCACCATGACTACCCCTTCTGCCCTTCTATAATTCACATACAATTATCAATCTCATTGCTTTATAGTTACCTCACATGAATAGTGCACAACATTGTCTGCATGTTCTAACCTCCAATATAATCATTATATACTAATCTTTTGGCCTCTCTTAAAAGTTGCATTGCATATAACTTATAGGAAATACAGGGGACACAGGTGCATGTTAAATGTCACCCTGGGAGTGCAAACAGAAAAATCCAGACTGAGAAATGATACAGGATAATCACCCCAGTTTCTTCAACAAATCAATTTGAAAGAAAAAGGGGGGAGAGACCAAGAGAGCAGGAACCCATAAATTATAAAAAGACCTATGAGACATATTAACCCATAGTAATGAATGGACCGTATATGGGTCCTGACACAAACTGTAAAACAAAAAACCATTTGAAACAATTAAGGAAATCTGAACAACCGACTAAATGATGATATTGAGGAATTATTAATTTTACTAGGTATGTCAAGGTATTGTGACTATTTTAAAAGAGTCCTTATCTTTCAAGATACGTAATATTTATGGAGGATGTGAAAATAAATATTGTAGGTATTTCAAAAAATGCTGAAACAAGACATTCACGCTCAAATTTCAAACAAGATACTAACATACTGACACTCTTGTAATTAAAAAAAAAGTTTTGGCAATCATTTCACTTGTACAAAGTTAATTATTTTGCTTTAAGTGTTATAATTCTCCAATCACAAGCTAGAAATTTTTCAGAATACAACATACCCTGACAGCTTGTTCCTTTTTGATACCTTCCACAATATCTATAGGTTCTTTAACTATGGCGTCAGGAGTCTCAGCAGCAACATCTTCTATGTTGACACCACCTTGAGAACTTCCTATTAATACAGGACCCTGGCAGGGGAAAAAAGCCGAAATATCTAGATTTTACTTTGGACTAGTCAATAAAATTTTAAAGCCTATCTGCATGTACTATCAGACTTATGTATCTATCACTTCCCACCTCTATTTAAAAACTTCCTTGAGAATTTATTTGTATATCCAGCACAATGCTCCCTTATAAATGTTCAGCTGAAATACCAAAAAGAAGTAAAAGAGGAAGCAATGGCTTGCCTTCGAAGGAAAGGGATTGAAAATACACATGAAAACTCTTATCAAAGAATATTTTTTTATAAGAACATATTACTCTTACATCCAGTAAAAAGTGTGACTTTCATTTCAAAAAAAAATCAAAAAACTAATTTCACATTTCTATCCCAGCACCTACAGTTACAGTAACAAACTCATTTAAAATAAAATTTAAATATTATTGCATTAATTACCGTTTGGAGAACAAAATAGTCCCTCAAATCTTTAAAATAAGGCAATAGCCAAAGGAAAAAATAACAGTCTATTACTTTTTAAAAGAGTTAACTGTTACATGGGGAGATTTTTAAAAAGTACCTGCCTCCAAAGAGAAAAACTGAGTGGCTAGCAAACAAGAGTGGAGGGAGAGTTAAAGTTCCTGTATATCTTTTTACCTTTTTTATTTTGTACAATATGATTAAATGTCAATATAAACCAAAAAAAAATGTTTTAATAAAAGAATTCATTGTGCCTTCTGAGACTAAAGGAGATAACACTAGCAAGCCTGAGTAAGAAAATACTGGAAATTATAGTTTAATTTTAAGTTCCTCTGCAAATTTCAAATGAAGGCGTACTCTTCATTTTCTCCCTAGCAAGGCAGTTGATAATTATAACCTCTTACAAAGATCTAAGGAGCAGGGGGAAAAAAAATCAGGGTTAACAAGAGAGTGTTCAACTATTACCATGGTATTGAGGTAGAATATAAATAAATTAAATCTACAGTTAATCACAAAATACAATTTTAGTCAACAAAAGAAGACGCAAAGACCAACCAATCATTAAAGTACATGAACATTTTATTTTCGTTTTACTATCCTTTTTTATTTTATATATACTGACAAGAAAAATGAAAAGACACAGAGAAGGCAGCACTACTGGGGAGAAAAAGATAATATTAAATTCTTACTAAAGTAAAAATTAAGTCCTCAACAGTTGGTTACTAGTCAGGGGAAAACTCTAGAAAACAGTAATGTGAAACAGTAATAAATAAAAGAAGTGAATAGCCTTTATTTGTACTAATTCCATGACCAATCAGAAAGGAACCAACTTACATGGGGTAGACAGAGGCCAGTTAAAACAACGACTACAATTTTACATTTGGTCATCACAGCAGAATAAATGGCTGTTTCCTGTTCAAATGATTTAGTTTAACTTTTAAATTTTAGTAATAAACTTTCAAAACAATTTAGTTTCTAGTAAATAGCTGTAATTTCAAATAAATTAACAATGCTATTTTTACTTTTTTAAACTAAACCTCTCTTCTCTTGCTTGGTCTTGCAAAGGTTTTGCCTAAAATAGATTTGATTTTAAAAATTCTATGACAAAACAGTCACTTAATAAAATAAAGATCTCTTTAAAAAATAAAAGTATGAAAAATAAAATTTGGAATTCTTCCAGTACATTTTATATCTATTTCAGACAAAGTCAAAAGCTGACACAGTTAAATGTACCACTCATTTACAGCAGACTGCAATGTTTTACTAGAAAACTTTTAAAGTAGCAATATGATTTGGAAAATTGGTCACAGCTCAAAAGTACCCAACAGGCACTGGACGAAAGTGCCAAACACAGAGTAGGCACTTAACTTTAATTTTTAGTACACCAGTCCTATGGGAGATATCTGTTCAGGCATCCTAATGTGTTAAGTGCTGAAGAAGATTGGGAGAGCCTATGATTTTGTCTCCTAAAAACAGATAAATAACAAATGCAATTTTTACTGATTAGTGAATTCCTATGCATAGGACTTTAATTCAATCTAAAATACTGTTTTCTTTTTAGTTTACTAAATAGCTGATTGATTTTTTTATTGTTTGAACAGGGATCTTACCTGTCCACAGGGATTCCCGAAAAAGTTGGCTAAACCCCAAAAAGTAACACCCAACTGGTCTAATTGATAACAACAAAGAATACTTTAATACCTTTAGCCAAACAGTTTTACTAGTACTATAATATTTTTAGTATGAATTATTACAACTATGTATTACTTTGCGATTAAAATAAAAACATTTTTCCCTTAAACCAAGAAAACCAAACCCGTTGCCACTGAGTTGATTCTGACTCATAGCAACCCCACAGGATAGAAGAGAACTGCCCCATTGGGTTTCCAAAGAATGGCTGGTGGATTCGAACTACTGACCTTCTGGTTAGCAGCCAAGCTATTAACCATTGCGCCACCAGGGCCCGTTTTTCCCTTAAAGATATTCAAATACTTCTCTGAAAATTTAACTTCTTTAAATGAACTCAAATTTGATCCTTTCCCTTAATGCTTTAACATATCTTTAATAATATATATTCAGTTTGCTACATGTACTCCAATCCAGATGAGCTACTCAATTTGTTCAGTGTATATACACACAAACACATTGTTTCTGGCTGTAATTAAAAGTAAAAACATAATAACTAAAATATGACATATGTTGATATCTAATGTCAACTAAAAGAAAATGTAATAAAAATACATAAATGTTTAAAATTTAATTTCTGTAAACATGAACAAAATCAAAGGTTACTGTCATGGTATTTCTAAAATAACTTACAAAACTAAATTCTGCTACAGAGAAACTTACAGAGGTAAAGACATCACTTAAAAATAGAACAATGTTTTTTATCTTATATTCTGTGTGGGTTTTTACTACCATCTAGTGTTACACCTTAAGAAATGCCTTCTTATAAAAATTAAAAGTTGTAATAGACACTTTACCATTCAAACATTACTAGAAGATTATAGGAAAATCACAATACACAAAGTGGCTGTATTTGAAAAAGCTGTTCTATATAAGAAAGCTATTTTCATGACCCTTAAAATTTTTGTTACTCTAAATTCTACACAATTAATAATGTTCTACATCAAATCCTTACTAGAGCTTCCAAATACGTACCCAGTTTGCTTTAAAATAGAAGCCTAGTTACAACACAGGTTCATCTCGCAATACCTAATAACACTGAAAGAGCCAGATAATGGCAGAGTATAGCAAGATTATTCAATGTTCTCTCCAAGCACCAGATCCGTGAAAGAATCTTCTCTGCCCCTGACTCCTTATGTTCACTGCTAGCATTTTAGGTTCTATAAAGAAAGGAGAGCAGACCTAGGGTTATGCTCCTTAGAGACACACTGTTTGTTACTGAATGTAACCCTTCAACTTACCAAGTACCAAATGATCTAGTGAAACAAACCTCACGCTATAAAAAGTACCAGGAGGTTGAAAAAGAAAAAGATGAAGCAATCGATACACATTCTCTTAGTGGATTCAGAGACTTTCTCTCTGGTAGAATAGTGTACTATACTAGAAATTATTTTTCCAGTCTTAGCATCTAGAGGTGAAGCAGAAATGATTCCAGCTGTTCTTAGTGAATTAACAATTTGAAAATCCCATGGAATTTATTAAAGCAGAATTTTGCCTATAGCTTTTTTTGACATTATATATCAAATTTTATGGAATTACTCACACTGTTTTTAAAAACTGATATAAATATTGTGCCCATGATACATACAAATAGATTATGGATCATACTTTTTTGATCTTTCCCTTATAAATAGCAATGATAATCAACTACTTGAAAGTGAATGTAATAATTCATACTAAATGTCATACTATCGTCTCTACAATTACTCACTTGAAATGACCTTTCCATTGTTATTGCAAAGTAGTATTCTCTCCTGGGATATCTTCGCTCACAGACCAATACTTGATTGCATATTCTGCCCTTTTTTCCAGTTTGCTTGGTAAACAACTTTTTCCCAATCATTTGTGAAGAAACAGCTTTTGCTTCTTCTGGACTAAAATAAGAAAAAGAACTCAAACTCCTCTCCTCCAATGGAGAAAAATAAAAATCCACAAAATAGTCAAAATCTTATCTAATATTTAAATCTCAGTGTTTTCATCAATCCAATAATAAAGAAAAGGGCATCTTGTACAATAAACTTTTTCTTTAATAAAGACAATTTTCTTTAAAAATGTGACTTACGAGAAAACTATCTTCACTCCTCCTTTGAGGCCACTTTCAAACGTTCCTTTTCCTCTACCACCAGCTAAAACCTGTGCCTTTATCACGACATCTTTTGAACCTAGAAGAATAAGACTTCCATTAGATATGAAGCATGGAGAAGCATGGAAGACACAGAATTTTGTTATTCAGCATACACACTAAGAGATGTTTTTAAATACAGTGAAGTCTCATTTGTTCACAATATCAAAAAATGAGGCATTCCATAGATGCAGATTTTCTAGCAGATTAGAACACTCACCATCTAGAGAGTCACAACTTAAAAAAAATTAGCTACTCATATTAAACTGTTTTTTAATGTATGGTGAAAATAATTTAACCTTTTCTTAAACACCTGAAGTTTCTACTACAGGCAGTCCCCACGTTACAAATGCAATCTGTTGCTGTGACTTTAAGTCTTTATATGGAATTTGTAGGTCAGTGGCAATAGGTGCCTATGGTTCTTATTCAGCCTTGCTTCAAGGCAAGAAAAAGCACGAAGCCTTTTCAATGATTTAAAAGCTGTAAGTGAGATGTTTTTCACAGAGTCGATGAAGTCTCCTATTTAAACAGTGCTTCAATGGAACCCAGTGCTTGCCAACCTCCCTGCAACCAGCCGCTCCCAGACAGCCCTCCGCCACTTCCTTACAGCAGCACCCTCGGAGCCCCCAAGGCTGTGCCGCTGCCTCTCCTCGTCTGCCGCCATGATGACTGTGTCCCCCTGGCAGGTGAGCCAGAACTACAACCAGGACTTGGAGGCCGCAATCAACCACCAGATTAACCTGGAGCTCTATGCGTCCTACGTCTACCTGTCCGTGTCTTACTACTTCCACCTCCATGATGTGGCTTTGAGGAATTTTGACAAATATTTTCTTCACCCAGAAGTAAAACTATCCCTATTCACAAATGATACGATACTATACGCAGAGAACACAGAAGATTCCACAAGAAAACTACCGAAACTAATAGAAAGATTCAGCAGAGTAGCAGGATATAAGGTCACCATACAAAAATCAGTTGGATTCCTATATACCAATAAAGAGAACTACCAAAAGGAAATCAGGAAATAGCCCCTAAAAAAAAAAAAAAAAAAACCTAGGAATAAATCTAACCAGAACGTAAAAGACCTATACAAAGAAAACTACAAAACATTACTGCAAGAAACCAAGAGAGCTACAAAAATAGAAAAACATACCATGCTCACGGACAGGTAGACTCGACATCGTAAAAATGTCAATTCTACCCAAAGCAAACTATAAATACAATGCCATCCTGATCCAAATACCAATAACATCCTTTAACGAGATGGAAAAACTAATCATTAACTTTATATGGAAAGGAAAGAGACCCCAGATAAGTAAAACATTACAGAAGAACAACGCATAAGGCCTCGCACTACCTGACCTCAGAACCTACTATACAGCTTCGGTAGTCAAAACAGCCTGGTACTGGTACAACAACAGACACATTGACCAATGGAACAGAATCGAGAACGCATATGTAAATCCATCCACCTACAGTCACCTGATCTTCAACAAAGGCTCAAAGGCCCTCAAATGGGGAAGAGAGTCTTTTTAACAAATGGTGCCGGCAAAACTGGAGGTCTATCTGTAAAAATATGAAACAGGACCCACACCTCACATCATAAATAAAAACTAATTCAAAATGGATCAAAGACCTAAATATAAAACAAAAAACTATAAAGATCATGGAAGAAGAAACAGGGTCAACACTACAGGCCCTAATACACGCAATAAATAGGATAAAAACCATAACTAACAATACATAAACACCAGAAGATAAGCTAGATAACTGGGATCTTCTAAAAATTAAACACTTACACTCATCAAAAAATTTCACCAAGAGAGTAAAAAGACAATCTACAGACTGGGAAAACATTTTTGGCTACGACATACCCAACAAAGGTCTAATCTCTAAAATCTACAAGAAAATCCAACACCTCTACAACAAAAAGACAAATAATACAATTAAAAAATGAGCAAAGGTACATTTTCATGTGTGTTATGGCCATCTGAATGGCCTCTTTGGTGGAATAACTATTCAAGTCCTTTGCCAATTTTATGATTGGGTTATCAGTCTTTTTATTAAGTTGTCAAAGTTTTATATATATTTTAGTTATTAGATTCTTGTCAGATACATGGTTTCTGAAAATATTCTTCCAGCCAGTAGCTTATCTTTTCACTTCTTTGGTAAAGTCTTTTGATGAATAAAAGTTTTTAATTTTTATGAGGTCCCATTTATTTATTTTGTCTTTTGCTATTTGCACCTTTGTTATTACATTAAATAATATATTGTTGAAAGCTAGGACTAACAGCATTGTACCTGCTTGTGTTTTCTAAGAATTTAATGGTTTTAGTTTGCACTTAATAAAGTATTTTGATGAGCATATTAAAAAAAAAATGGGCAAAGGATATAAACAGACACTTCACCAAAGAAGACATAGACACGTGAGAAAATGCTCATGATCATTAGCCATTAGAGAAATGCAAATCAAAACTACCATGAAACACCATCTCAGCCTGACATTACTGGCATGAATCAAAAAAACAGAAAATAGCAAATGCTAGAGAGGCTGCAGGGAGATTGGAACTCTTATGCCCTGCTGGTGGGAATGTAAAATGGTACAACCATTTTGAAAAATGATACGGCACCTCCTTAAAAAGCTAGAAATAGAAATACCATACGATCTAGCAATCCCACTCCTAGGAATATATCCTAGAGAAATAAGATCTGTCACACAAATAGACATATGCACACCCATGTTCACTGCAGCATTATTCACAATAGCAAAAAGATGGAAACAACCTAGATGCCCATCAACAGATGAATGGATAAACAAACTATGGTACGTACACACAACAGAAAACTATGCGACGATGAACCTGCGAAAAATCTCACAACATGGATGAATCTGGAGGGCATTATGCTGAGTGAAATAAGTCAATCACAAATGGACAAATACTGTATGAACCACTATTATAAAAACTCATGAAAAGGTTTACACACAGAAAGAAACAATCTTTGATGGTTACAAGTGAGGGGAGGGGTGGTGAGGGAAAAAACACTAACTAGCTAATAGACAAGCGGTAATTTTTGTGAAGGGTATGACAGTACACAATACTGGGGAAGCCAGCACAACTTGACCAAGGCAAAGTCATAGAAGCTTCATAGACACCTGCAAACTCCCATAGGGACCAAATTACTGGGCTGAGGGCTGGGGACCATGGTCTCCAGGAACATCTAGCTCAACTGGCATAACATAGTTTAAAAAGAAAATGTTCTAAATCCTACTTTAGTGAGTAATGTCTGGGGTCTTAAAAGCTTGTGAGCAGCCATCTAAGATATGTCTACTGATTGAACCCCGTCTGCAGCAAGGAAGAATCAAGAAAACCAAAGACACACGAGAAGGATTAGTCCAAAGGACTAATGGAACAAAATACCACAGCCTCCACCAGACTGAGTCCAGCACTACTAGACAGTGCCCAGCTACCACCACTAACTGCTCTGACAGGAATCACAATAGAGGGTCTCAGACAGAGCTGGAGAAAAATGTAGAACAAAATTCTAACTCACCAAAAAAAGTCCAGGCTTATTGGTCTGACAAAATCTAAAGAAACCTCGAGAGTATCGCCCCTGGACACTCTTTTAACTCAGTACTGAAATCACTCCTGCGGTCTACCCTTCAGCCAAAGATCAGACAGGCCCATAAAACAAAATGAGACTAAACAGACACACCAGCCCAGGGGCAAGGACCAAAAGGCAGGAGGAGACAGGAAACTGGTAATGGGGAACCCAAGGTTGAGAAGGGGAGAGTGTTGACGTGTCGCGAAGATGGCAACCAAAGTCACAAAACAGTATGTGTACAGTTTAAGAGAAACTAATTTGCTCTGTAAACCTTCACCTAAAGCACAATAATATATATATATTTATTTTTTCTTCACCAATCTTACAAGGAGAAGGAACATGCTGAGAAACTGATGAAGCTGCAGAACCAATGAGGTGGGTCAACCTTCCTTCAGGATATCAAGAAACCAGTCTGTGATGACTGGGAGAGCAGGCTGAATGCAATGGAGTGTGTGTTACACTTGGAAAAAAGCATCGGTCAGTCACTATTGGAACTACACAAACTGGCCACTGACAAGAATGACCCCCTAGACAAGGACTAGAAGGCAGAAGGGGACAGGAAAGCTGGTGATAGGGAACCCAAGGTTGAGTAAGGACAGTGTTGATGAGTAGCGGGGTTGTCAACCATTCTCATAGGGCAACATGTATACTAGCTGTTTAATGAGAAGTTATTTTGTTCTGTAAACCTTCATCTAAACTGAGAATAGCAGCCCAACTGGAAGAGCATAGTCAATGTCACTGAACTGTGCCTGTAGAAATTTTTGAAATGATGTATCTTTGGCTATGTATATTTTCACCAAAAAATAAATAAATAAAAAAGGTTGAGAAGGGAGAGGGTTGACGTGTCGTGGGTTTGTTGACCAATGTCATGGGGCAATATGTGTACTGCTGTTTGGTGAGAGACTATTTCTTCTGTAAACCTTCACCTGAAGTACAATTAAAAAACAAAAAAAAAGGCTGACCCCCCTACTTGTGTGACTTCACTGAGACGCACTACCTAAATGAGCAGGTGAAATCCATCAAGGAATTGGGTGACTACATAACCAACTTGTGCAAGATGGAGGCCCCGGGAACCTGGCCTGGCAGAGTACCTCTTCGACAAACACACCCTGGAAGACAGTGATGGAGAGAGCTAAGCTTTAGCCTGCTGCCCCACAGCCACAGGGGTGATTTCCGTGGTCACCAGGACAGCGCATGCATGTTGGGTTTACCTTCACCTTTTCTGTAAACTGTACTAAAATATCCACTTAAGTTCTTTCATTTGTACCATTCCTTCAAATGAAGTAATTTGGTACCAGAAAAAAAAAAGCTCTACCTGCAGCAAGTAAAGGTGATTGCAATGAAGAACTTGTCGGGAGCAGAGGTTGGTTCAATTATTTTAAAGTGAGGGCAAATTTACATAACGGAAACCGGGGAATGCCTGTACTTTCAGAGGTA